GGGCCCCGGAGGCCGGTTGGCAGCGGGCGCGAGTCCCCAGGCGCGCACACCGCCCAGCATGGGGAGTTGCTGCTTCGAAGTGCCCTCAGGCGGGCGTGTCTGTGCACAGCAGGGTGAGGAGGGTCTTTGACAACTCGATCTGTGCCGCAGTCACGTCGCCCCTCCCCCACAGACACACGCCCTCGGGCGGGAGCTGTGGGGTCTGTTCGTCTCCCAGGCACCTCCGCGGCCAAGAACGTAAATTCACGTCATAAACTTATTTAGAACGTTCTTCTCGATAGCGTTATCTTTCTGTCGGTATTTCGGGCTAATGACACGAACAGCAGCCCTTGTTTTCTGTGATGTAAGCCCGGACCGGAGCCGTCACAGGGACACCGCCATCTGGGTGACGAGGACCTGAAGGCCCTTGGGATGGAGGCGCGAGGAGCGCTGAGGGCTGAGGTGACTGCTGCCAGCACCGGGGGACGCGCTCGTGGAGCATCGCACGTCGGCGAGCCTGGCTCCGTGGGCACAGGCGGGCCAGGCGCCTCCACCCCGAGCATCGGGAGGAATGGAACCTGGGAGGCTGGGCCGGGCTGGGCAGCGAGGGGACGACAGTGTCCTCCACGAGCAAACACCAGGACACCGAGGAGAAAGCAGCGTCGATGAGATGCATGCGGCGTCTGTGCGGCTGTGAGGGTGACGGAGCCCACGGCTCTGTCCCCACGCAGCAGCAGCATGGGGCAGCAAAGCACGGTGGCGGTCACGTGAACAGAGTGACGGAGGGACGCAGCGAGACGCGGGGGCCTGGTCCAGGCAGGTGGACGCCGTCCGCGGGGTCCAGGCACAGTGGGCCACGCTGAGCTCTGCCCCCACCTCCAGGTACGACGTCTGCATCCTGGCGCTGGGACAGACGGGGAGCGGGAAGACCTACACCATGCTGGGCCCGCCCTCGGACGCTCCCCGCGACGTGGGGCTTGTCCCCAGAGCCGTGGAGGGACTCTTCAGGTACCTGGAGCCAGCGGCAGCGGGCGGGGCGGGGGGAACCGCTGCGCGTGGCCGTGTCCCCGCCCGCTCTGCCTCTCACGGGGCCACGCGTGTCCTTTGTGACGTGCGCCCTGGACGCTGCTGCTCTGTGCGTCCTGCCCCCAGACGCTTTGCTTCCCCAGGGTGAGGGCCGAGGGCTGCTTTTCAGCGCAGCTCACAGAACCCAGCCGACGGCTACGTGCGTGCGGGACGAAGGGACGGAGGGACGGAGGGACGGAGGGACGGAGCCGGCAACCGCGCACTTGACTTAGGGGTGGGGAAGGAGTCTTTCCAGGGGCTCCTTGGCCTTGCGCAGATGAGAAATTTCAGTTCTAGTTTAGGTTTTGTGAGGCAAAGACACGGCCTGTCACAGGAGGGGTGGGGCGGGTGCGGAGGCCCCTAGTGCGGGGCACTCCAGCTGGCGTGGTTCCTAGTTGGGGGCACCCCAGCTGACGTGGTTCCTAGTGGGGGGCACCCCAGCTGACGTGGTTCCTAGTGGGGGGCACCCCAGCTGACCTGGTTCCTAGTGGGGGGCACCCCAGCTGACGTGGTTCCTAGTGGGGGGCACCCCAGCTGGCGTGGTTCCTAGTGGGGGGCACCCCAGCTGACGTGGTTCCTAGTGGGGGGCACCCCAGCTGACGTGGTTCCTAGTGGGGGGCACCCCAGCTGGCGTGGTTCCCAGTGGGGGGCCCCCAGCTGGCTCGCGTGGCTTCTTGCTCCGCTCTGACCTTGGGGAGCTCCCAGCAAACCCGAATCCCAGGTTTGTCAAAACCCGAACTCTTCGCCAACTGTAATTTTTATCAGAGAATTTATTTTTTCTTTGATTTTTGTCGTTACTGTTCTGAGCTGTTCGTCATTAGGAGACATTGACTGTTCATTTTGTCCATGGCCCACATGTAGCTCCTGGTGAGACTCAGCCCAGTGAGGCCGGAGGAAGGGGCCCGGCCATAACCCCAAACACAGCAGCGTCCTGCCACCCTGGCTTCCCTGCTTCGGACGGGAGGCACACGAGTTGCAATCGCACAGGCCCCGGGGGGTGGGTCACAAGGACAAAGCAGGGCTGTGGGGCAGGGGCGCGGCCCTGTGGCCGTTCCTCCCTCGGCCCGGGCCCTGGGGTTTTTCTGTAAGTGCACATATCCTTATTTTTAGCCTTTTGTCCGGTCAGCACACAGCACTTGAGACACAAACCACCACGAGACGTGTCATTGTCAGGGGCCGGGGAGTCTGGGGAGGCCGCGGCACCGTCCGTGGGGCACGGCCTCCTGCAGCGGTGACTTCAGAGTAGGGGAACCGCGTTCCCGGGAAGGCGCCAGCCGCCCCGCCGGGGCTGCGGCCGTTCAGAGTCCCCGCTGTGTCTAGAATGCCCGGCGTGCCAGTGGCCGAACTGGCTGCTTCCGGTTGGACAAAGGTGAAACAGCTTTGTCCCCGAGGGGCTCACCACCGCCGCTCAGGGGTCCCCGTGCCTCGTTCCCTTGGCGTCAGGCGCGTGGCCGCAGCTGGGAGCTGGCCCGGCGTCTCTGGGGCCGGTGCCCTGTCGTCTTGGAGCCCCCTACCACGTTGTTCAGGGGCCGCCCGAGCCCCTCTGACGGCCCCGTCTCCGTCCCCCCGCCCCAGGCTCATTTCAGAAAACCCGTCGAGGAGCACGCAGGTCGAGGTGTCCGTCATGGAGGTTTATAACAACGACATCTTTGACCTTCTGGCCAAGGACGGTCGCACAGCGGTGCCTGGCGTCAAGCCCGAGGTGTCGACGACCAAGGAGGGCAGGAAGGAGGTGTCGCCGCTGACCCGCGTGTGAGTGCCCGCCCCATCCGCAGGTGTGGCCTCGGGCCCGGCCACCTTCACGGGGACCCCACGTTCCCTTCCAGCGACAAGTCGGTTCACCGTGTGTGTGTTTGCTGTAGAATCACCCTTCTAGGTCACGAGCAAAACAGTCTCTCAGAATGTCGTCATTAAGAGGGGACGGCACAGGGACTGTCCCCAGGTTACAGAGGAGAGACGGCCACTCGGTGACTGACATCCTGATAGGCCCCTGTGAATGCCAGTGTTCGGGGCACAGAAAGGGGTCATCTCGTGAGAGGGCAGGCTCCTCACGTTGGGGAGACGTTTTCCCGAAGGTGTCCGTACGCCGAGTCCGCCCGTAGGGCGTCTGTCAGGCTCGCTCGCGGCGGGCTTTGCCTGGACGGCAGGCCCAGAGGGAGATGTGGCGTCAGGGCCAGGGTGGCCCTCTGGGGCCTCACAGTTAGAAAGGGGCTCTGCGGGCTGTGCTCAGCGTTCAGAAACCCTGGGGTGCGCTAACCGTGGAACGTTTGACAGGCCGAACTTTCAGCTTTGAACGAACAGACTGATCCGAAAATCTCCCTCAGATCACAAGTTCTGATGAGCTCTTCTCGCTCATTAATTAAAATGGAGAAATAAATCAAACTTTTATTTCATAAATGATTTGGTAGACAAACTTTTAGGATTTTGGGGTCCTTGAGTGTCTAATAAATGAACGAACGCCAGATGCTGAGAAGGTGGGACCCTCTGACTCGGCCCCAAACGGCTGATTATTTTCGGGGAAAGCGGCTAGACAGCCATGTCGGGCCGGCTCCCGAGGGTGAAAGGTTTGCTTTCCACGTGTGCGCGGTTCGCTGCTCTCTTGAAATGGCACCTGCGTTTCCGTGAGGGGTTTCCGCAGCGGGGCAGAGGCTGCCGTGGGGCGGGCGTGGGCGGGACCCTCGCTCTGGGTTTGTCGCCCCCGCAGGGCTGTGTGCAGTGCAGGGGAGTGCACAGCGCTCATCAGGGCCGGTCTGCAGCTGCGGGCGCAGCATGCCACCGCCGTGCACGCGGCTTCCTCTCGCTCACACCTGATCGTCACGGTCACTGTGACCACAGCGCCCTCCTGCCACAGCTCCGGTAAGTGGCCAGACGCACGCAGGGTGAACCACACAGGAAGCGGGGTTGGGGGCTGTGGCCCCGTCTTTGGGAAGCCTGGAACTGAAACCCAGGAGGCCCCTGGTCCCCGAGGCCGGGCAGGAGGGGACATCGGGGTGGGGCGGGGGGAAACACCTTGTTTAACGAGGTCCGTCCGATACAGGAAGCAGAACAGCCTCGCGCGTGACGCTAAACGCAGTCTCAGCTTAGAGAGCGAGTCACAAGCCGGCACCTAAGGTGTAAAGGGCGGTTCTCAGGCTCCTTTTAAACGCCCCTCAGGCGCCTTTTCTGTGCTTTGCACGGAGAGGGTGCCCTGGTCAGGTTTAAGAGTCGCTCTGAGCCGCCCGTGCAGGGACAACGTGGGACAAACGAACACGGCCTCGGAGCAAAGGGCAGGGGGTCAGGGCAGCCACGGACGGTGTGGGGCAGCCGCGGGCTTGGCGTCCATGGGGCCGAGCAGCCTGTGCCGACGACGGGCCCTTAGGGCCACGGCCGAGCCCCGCTGAGGAGCCTCGTTAGGCTGCCACGAAGTGCCACTCGCTGTCACTCGGCCCCGCCCCGTGTGTCTAAGGGGAAGACACACGGCCGTCCCCGTGCGATGGCGCCCAGAGGCCCCGGTCACCCCGTCATCTCCTGTCGTGCCCGTGCAGCGGAGCAGCCGTGGAGCCCCACAGCGCCCCAGGAGGCCGGGCCCCCGCAGCCTGCCGCAGGGAGGAGGCGGGGTGCGTCCCGCAGAGCCTCGCCGGGGTCCCCGGGGGCCTCGCCCGCGGGCCCCGCAGCACACGCAGAGCAGGTGCACGCCAAGCTGCAGCTCGTGGACCTGGCGGGCAGTGAGTGTGCCGGTGAGTGGCCGTCTGCACCCGAGTGAGAAGCCTTTTCCAGGGTGACTGGGGGTGGGGACGTGACAGGGGCAGACGGAGCAGGCCACCGCAGGCGCCCAAGCTCGGGGACCCTCTGCAGGGGACCTTAGAGGCCTGTGCCGTCCTGCGGGCCAGTCCAAATCGGAGGTCGTGGCCCAGTGAGAGCGCCTCCCGCGGGCCAGGTAGGCGGTCGGAGGACCGTGTGGCGAGGGCCCTCCCGGCCGGCCCGCTGCCTCCTCATGTCCCTGTCCTCTGCTGCTCTCCGACTGCATCTCGCGGTCTCACCGCGTGGCTGGTCCCTGACTGTCCCAGGTGTGTCTGGAGTGACAGGCTCGGCCCTGAGGGAGACTTCCTGCATAAACCGGAGCCTGGCAGCCCTCGCGGACGTGCTCCGGGCCCTGTGGGAGCGCAGAGGCCACGTGCCCTACAGGAACAGCAAGCTCACCCACGTGCTGCAGGACGCCCTTGGTGACTAGTGTCCCCTACCGCGTGCCCCGGGAGTCAGCCGCTGTCCCCCTTCCTGTGGGGGGCGAGCTCCTCCCAGCCACAGCCTTGGGGCCCTCCTGGCTCCCTGCTCAGTGGTCTGCCCCCGGCGGCATTCCCAGCCACGTGCTTCCCTGCAGTGTGGTCACGGGCGTGTGCCGGCCAGCTCCTCCCACGGGGGAGCCCACGGGGGAGGGATGGAAGTGGGGTGTCCTAGGTCCCGGCGGGTGGGGGCCCTGGCAGTGTGGCTGGGCAGGGTGGGCGGAGGCCCCTGCAGGAGCCCGGCCCCCGCCTCCTGTCGGTCCTTACAGCAGAGGACAGGCCGGCGCCCCTCCCAGGACCCGCAGGGGGGCACAACTGCACAAGGGGTCCCATCCCCACCAGGCGCACCCCAAGCCAGTGTCGCCTCTCCTGAACCCCGGCTGGCGGCGGGAGGCTGCTGTCACTCGCGGGGTGCCCGGGGCGCCTGGGCCCTGCAGCCCTGCGGCCAGCACGGCTGACACAGCAGTGACCGGGCCCCCGCGAGGCCACAGCGCTGTGCTCCTTCCTCGACCTTCTCCCCAGCTGCGTGTTCTTACTGTTCTAAAGGAGGTGACGCGAAGTTGCTGGTGATGGTGTGCGTGTCCCCCTGCCTGAAGCACGTGGCGGAGACGCTGCAGAGCCTGGGGTTCGGGGTGCGGGCGCGGCAGGTGCAGGGGGTTGGCCCAGCCCGCAGGAGCCCCCGGTGCTGAGAGCTGCGGCCGCCTGTGGGGCTGGGCTTCCCTCGACCCCGCGCGCAGTAAACCTTCTTTCCTCGGACCCGACAAACCTCATTTTTTCCAACAAGCTGGCCATAAACGGTGACAGGCGCCGGAGCGCAGGCCGGGCCACGTCGTCAGAGCAGCACGTGGCCCGGCGAGCGGCCCTCGAGCAGCCCCCACCCTGGGCGGGCGGGTCCTCGGGGCAGTGCTGGGAGCAGAGGGGAGAAGCCATGCGGGCCCCACCGCCGGCTCCCATCCCGCACAGAGCAGGCCGCCGTCCCCGGCTCTGAGGCCAGCACCTGGGACCAGACAGGCCATCGTGGTGTCCCCCGCCCACAGCCCCGTCTCTCTGTGCAGCAAGGCCACCAGAGGTGCGGGGGGAGGCAGACACAGCCAGCTGTCCCCATGTCTGGCTGGCAGTCGCCTGACCAAGCCGCCTGGACACCTCCCGCACCCCTACCTGGGCCCACACACCCAAGACCAGGCGGGGAGGGGGAGACTCCGGGACACAGTGGGGGTCTCTCTCTCTCGTGGCTGAAACGGCTTCGTTCTGACAGTTCACTAATCCCCGTAGCCGTGGGGCACACGGACGGCCCAGCGCCTGTCCCTCTGGGTCTCAGCCACTGGGATGAAGACCGGCTCTTCGGAGTCCCTGGGCCTCTTCGCTGGGCTCCCAGGGAGGCGTGTCGCCGGGCCCTGGATGGACGCCTGTCTGTCCCCATGGGCCTGCTCCCCAACCCATGCAGCATTGTGGGGGGGGCGGGGCACAGAGCCAGCCAGCTCTTCTGGAGAAAGGGTGCCCCGTTCCCAGGCTCTGCCTCATGTGGGGTGGGTGACCTGGGGCCCACAGGGCATGAGGGGTGAGTCACAGGGTGCAGTGACTGGTCAGACGTGCACTCTGGGCCCCTGGGCCCCTGGGCCCCTGCGATGCTGGACACACCCCCCAAACGAAAGCCCACACCCTTTAGGACAGCACTACACGGGGCCCCGAGGCGTCCAGGCCCCAGGAGTCCACGCTCAACAAGCCCTTGGGGGTCCCCTGAATCTAGACCGCTACCTGCCCCCTGCACTCTGTCCAGACCTAGCTGGGACAAGCCAGGGGGCTGGTGGCACTTGTGGCCTACGCTTTGTCCAGCCAGCCACCGCCCGGGGCCCGGAAGCCGGGCTGGGCTTCCTCTTGGCCTCACGGACGAGTGGGGCGGACGTCGGGGTCTGCCTCATGTCCCTGCAGCCCCGGGTCCGTGGCCTCCTCACTGAGTGTCCCCCACATCGGGCGCCAGTCACTCAGCAGCTGGGACCCCGAACCGTCCTTTCCCGACGAGTTCAGCCCCGTTTTCCTGGAAAACACCTGTCTCGCCTCCTAGGCCTTTGTCCCTAATCCCTGGTCTCCACAGGAGGGAGGGTGGCTCCAGACTCTCCACAGGAGCCCCCCACCCCCGCCCCGTGCTGCAGGCTCCGCTGTCACCTCCCCAGGCACCCGGGTCGGGGGGATGGAGTCTGAGAGCACAGAGATCCTGCCTCGCTGGCTGTCCTCCCGCCACCTGGACAGCCAGAGGTGGCCTGGTCGCTCACAGACACCGCGTGACTGTCGGCGTCTGCACAGAAATGGGTACTGCAGCAGTGGGTTCTCGGGGGCACCAGGGACCCTGCTGCCTCATGGCGGCCAAGGGCACAGGGGCGATTGGACCAGGAGTGCCAGGAGGGGCAGCCTGCCCGTGAGAGATGGTCACAGCTGGTCTCCAGCCTGCCAGGCCCTTTCAGGCAGGTTTGGGGCTGGGGAGAGGCTCTGCCTGAGGAGCCACAGCGTGCCGCCAGCGCCCTCTGGTGGCAGTGAGGGATGCGCGCGGCTGGGAAGGAGCCCGCCCAGGACACTGAGCTCTCCAGGAAACCGGGAGGGGCCCGCGAGCTTCTGGTGCAGGCTTCTCTCTGCCACGTCCTCGCGCCCCCATGCCTGCCCGTGTGTGTGTGTGTGCGTGTGTGCACAGGGCCTGGCACACGCCATGCCTCCCTGCATGTGTGTGCATGTGTGTGCAAGTGTGAGTACACGAGCATGACTGCAGGTGTGTGTGCACGTGCATGTGGATGTGTACAAGTGTGTGCAAAAGCAGGGTTGTGTGTGCGTGTGCATGTGTGCATTGTGTACACGCGCGTGTGAGTGC